ACAGATGAAGGTTTTCAGATTGTATTAGCCCCCACACTTACGAATATGGCACATTTTAATTCCCATCCTCTTTCTTTCTCTTTCTTTCTTTCTTTCTCTTTCTTTCTTTCTTTCTTTCTTTCTTTCTTTCCTTCTTTCTTTCTTTCTTTCCTTCTTTCCTTCTTTCCTTCTTTCCTTCTTTCTTTCCTTCTTTCCTTCTTTCCTTCTTTCTTTCTTTCTTTCTTTCTTTCTTTCTTTCTTTCTTTCTTTCTTTCTTTCTTTCTTTCTTTCTTTCTTTCTTTCTTTCTCTTCTCTCTCTTCTCTCTCTCTCTCTCTCTCTCTCTCTCTCTCTCTCTCTTCTTTCTTTCTTTCTTTCTTTCTTTCTTTCTTTCTTTCTTTTCTTTCTTTCTTTCTTTCTTTCTTTTCCTGATTCTACTTAGCTATTTCTTCCTCACTCCATTTCTCTAAGAAAGATGAGTGTCCGGTATAGTTTGGGGTTTGTTTGGGTTCTTTGTTACATAGAAAAATAATAACTATCACTTACTGAACACTTACTATTTGCCTGGCATTATGCTGAGCACTTTACATTCATTATGTCACTTAATCCCCCCAACAAATCTATGAGGTGAGAAGTACTGTTTCTTTATTACACTCACAGACAAGCAAACTGAAATTTAGCAAGAGCTAAGTGACTTGCCCCTAGGTCACATAGTAAGTGGCAAAACTAAGATATGAACCCAGGCAGTTTGGCTCTAGAGCTTATGCCTTAAGCATGACATATGGGTAAGGAAACTGAGGTACAGAAGGATTCCAGGTACTCATTCTAAGTTCCAAAGTGAAAAAGTATTTTTGTCCTGACAGCCAATCCAGTATTCCATTCCATTGTCTTTGGTCAAGTTCCAATGCCAAGTGGAAGAAAGAGCTTCATTTGGGAGCATTGCTTGCACAAGCCCTGTCCATCAGATCTCAGAGCCCTGGTTTCTTGAGGATGAAGCAGAACCTGTTGCAAGCTTTCCCTGATCAGGTGCCTCAACTCCTTTTCTACATGTTGGCAGAGGTGGCTCCAGGACCACAAACTGAAGCATTTGGGAGGAATAACTTTAAGAAATATATAAATACAAAATTAGATGTATTTATTTATTTAGAATGAGACATGAAATCACATTGAGTGACAAATGTCAGAAAGCTAACAAGTACATAAACATCCTAAAATCTACAGGAGTCATAATTTTTTAATGAGTATAACCTTGTTAATACTTTTTTCCTCGATTTTTTTCCTATTTAATTATGAATGCTTTTTTCTATAACAATAAAAAAGTCAGCCCTTTCCTTAGGATGGTTGATTGATTTTTATTTAATTGATAGTTGAAATGTACAAAACATTGGCAACTTTATACACAGACATGCTTGCTTTGGGTAGTGTTTTTGCTGTATCAACACCAGAATTCTGACAATTTCTATTTCACAAAATTTATATTCAAAAAAGAAAAAATGTGTAGTGTATTTGTAGTTGTATACACAACATTATCAAGTGTTATATACACAACATTATCAAGTATTGTATTAGTCTGTTTTCATGCTGCTGATAAAGGCATCCCTGAGACTGGGAAGAAAAAGAGGTTTAATGGACTTACAGTTCCACATGGCTGAGGAGGCCCCACAATCATGGTGGAAGACAAGGAGGGGCAAGTCACATCTTACATGGATGGCAGCAGGCAAAGAGAGAACTTGGGCAGGGAAACTCCACTTTGTAAAGCCATCAGATCTTGTGAGAGTTATTCACTATCATGAGAATGGCACAGAAAAGCCCTGCCCCCATGATTCAATTACCTCCCCCCGGGTTCCTCCTACAACTCATGGGAATTCAAGATGGGATTTGGGTGGGGACACAGCCAAACCACATCAAGAATATTCCTGACAGAAGAGAACTTCTATTATGACTAAGAATTAAGGAAAACTCAATTCTTTACTTATACATTTACATGTTACAGAAGATTTATTCTCACATTAACTTGTGATTCCATCAATTTCAAACCTGGGCTGTTCTCTCTTGCCCACATACTTTCAGTGCTGGGTTTCATGGCACCTGTTCCTATCACAATAGAACCTCTGACCTGTACCTCATGGCACGACACCAGGAGAGTCAGCACAGTGGGCAGGAACTGAAACTCAACACCATACTGAAATGGCTAGCAATGTCCCAACTACACATGAATGTGACTTCAAACCACATCAACATGTCCCACTGAAGCAAAAAAATGTGCACCTCCATCCAACCTCCCCTTGGAAGATTCAAGAAACATCCATGGCCACACCAACATCATTGGAATGGGGAAAAGTGGAACAGAAAGTTGGAGGAAAGAGGGAGAACTTACTTTTTTCTTTTTCTTTTCTTTTCTTTTCTTTTTTTTTTTTTTTTGACAAGATGTGACTCTGTTGCCCGGGCTGGAGTGCAGTGGTGCAATCTCTGCTCACTGCAAACTCCAGGCTCAAGCAATCCTACCATTTCAGTCTCCCAAGTAGCTAGAACTGCAGGCATTCACCATCACACACAGCTAGTTTTTGTATTTCTTTTTTTTTTTTTTTTGACAGAAGCGGGATTTTGCCGTATTGCTCAAGCTGGTCTCAAACTCCTCACCTCCAGCGATCCTCCTGCCTTGGCCTCCCAAAGTGTTGGGATTACAGGTGTGAGCCACCATGCCCTGCCAAGATATCTTTCTAAACCAAAAATATATATGCTTCGTATCTTATTTTTTTAAAAAATACCTCATGGCACATATTTCTGGACCCACTCTCAGAGTTTTGGGTAGAAAGAAACTATGCGAGTGAAGGACCCTGGAGCTTAAACTTCATGAGCTTTGTTGGGCAAAGGAAGTCTTTCTAACCATTGTGATATTTTTTTCCTTCATGTGCAAAGGGAATGAGTATACTTCCCTTTTGGACCATATTTAAGGAGCGTTTTTCTCAGACTTGTTTGTAATAAAACCTTGACTGCTTAAGATTTATTTGTACTTGGTTCATCATTAGCTGTAGAGGCATCTTTGGCGTATCCATCTTTTTTTGGACATACAGTCATGAGAATTCAATTTAAAAAATCACAAGACCTTGAATATTCCCAATTTATCTCTGTGACACTAAGCTTTAAAGAGAGCAGAGGCAGAGTTGGAACTTGGCTAACAAATGACCACAGCTATGGTTGTAATACTAGTCAATTATGACATAAAAAATACAATGAGTCACAGTGGGACACCAACCTAACTTACTGAAAGTAAAAAAAAAAATGTTAACCAGTTGTTTTGTTTTCCCATATAAACAACTGGTTTAATTTTCACATTAGATAAATTCATAAATTTCCTCATATGTAAAATGAACACAGTCCTGCCTCCTAAATTGGACAGAAACCATGTTTATTTTGCTTACTCTCATGTCCCCAGTTTCCAGAGTGTTAACAACTATGTGGTAGTTAATATATAAATATTTGGTGAAGGAATGGAATCAAAAGACATCAATTATTCAGCTTGAGTTATTTCTATGCCACAAACAAATACACATTGCCTATGGCTGCCATAACAAATTATCACAATTTAGTGACTTAAAGCATTATACATTTACTATCTTACAATTCTGAAGGCCAGAAGTCTGAAATGAGTTTTATGAAGCCAAAACAGAGCCATCAGCAGGGTTTATTCCTTGTGGAGGCTCCAAGGGAAAATCTATTTCCTTGACTTTTCCAGCTTTTAGAGGCTTCCTGCTTGTCTTGGCTCAGGGCCTCCTCCTCTATCTTCAAAGCACATGGTTCTAACCCCAGATTCTTTTATCTCATCTTTATTCTTACTTTTGATAGGGAGATGGGACAAGAGATCTTGCCTCCCTCTTATAATAAGGACCCTTGTGATGACACTGGGCCCACCCCGATAATCCAGACTATTCTCCCCATCCGGAAGCCTTTAGCTTAATTCCATCTGCAAAGTCTTGTTTGCTACATAAAATAAGATTTTCACAGGTTCTGGAGATGTGGATGTAGACATCTCTGGGGGCTATTATTCTGTCCACACAGTGTGAGAAATCACTCCCAGAATATTTGTTTTTAGGGACAGTTACTGGAATTCATTGAATTTAGACCTTCTGATTTCTGGGCTAGTATTTTGTCATTGAGACAATACTTTTACTAAAGTCGAAGTTTTTAAGAAGCATTTTAATGTCAACAGGGATTTACTGGACATGAAGACCACAAAGAGGTCTATATTCTCACAGAGAAGCCATATAGATTTGGGGGAAATTCACTGTCTTTTTTTGGCAATTTATAATCTGGATGAGTGGATATATCACAGATATTTGATTCTCACCACCCCTCCCCTATCAGTTTTTTCCTTATTGCCTACACAGTTCTGGGAGATACTCAATATGCTATATGAGTAAGGACTTGCTTTTCTCTGTTGCCTCTCTTCTCCTCTGTATGAGTTACACTAAAACTAACTTGGCTCAAGTGACAAGATGACGATATTTGTTTAATGGTGTTTCTCAGAGAGCAGACAACAACTGAATTACAGAGGGCATATGATAATAACTGAAAATACTTTCAAGAGAATATGAGTTGCAAATTGCCTCAATACAAATTAATAAGCAGCAGAACTCCTGTCACAGTCTAGGTGTTCAATAAATATTTGTTGAACTAATTACACATTTATAAGTGTAATTAGTGTAATATGAGGATTACTTCACCTCAATAGAGCAGCTCACTTCTGTAGATACCTTGGCCAGGATGTAACAGTGACTCTAAAGGCACAAATTCCACAGTTAAATGATGAAAAGACAAAAACAAGAAGGAAGAGGTCCTGGGATCTAACGAGGACCTTGTGGACAATGAGCATGAAGAAATTCTTTTGAGAGCCGGGGTCTCCCATTGCACACTGAAACATCATAGTGCCAGTGCCTAGGTCTGACTCAACAAAGCACCACCTCTGAGTCATCTGACCACTTCCTGGGTTTTCCCCCTTGAAGTCTTCACACCCAGGGTCTGCATGCACCCCACCCTGCAGGGGATGATCTCAACTAGGTTCATTAACTAAAGCCTTGACAGACCCTTCTGATGTAATGGTCCCTGTGAAACCCGGAGTCCCATCTCTGGAGACTGTGAGGGAAGAGGGTTTAAGCAATGACAATTAGTTGGGAATTTTCTCCTTCGTGTCATCTCTGAGAACCATCTGACCTCACAAGTAAGACTCTCTGTGATGAGAAAGGGTGGTGTGTGCCTTACAGGAAATTCGAAAATGACCTCAGGGCATTACATACATGATTAGCAAGAGGGTAAAATATAGGATTGGAATCTTGCTTCTGATTTTTAGAGTAGAAAGAAAATTGGGCTAGGGCGGGGGAAGAGAGGTCACTGAGGAAGGGTATATTTGATGATACAGCCTAAGAGAAAAAGAGCTCTCCAAAGTCTTCCTCATTCTTCCACAAATATTTATTGAGTGCTTGGGATGGAGCAAGTCACTGTTCCAGCCCTTCCTCCTCCTCATCCCTGTTTTCTCCTCCTGCCAACTCTCTTTTTGTTGTTCCCAGTTTGAATATTTTTCACACTCAGAGCTGTATAAACTTCTCTTCATCACCAGATTCTTTGATCTATGAACAATAGCAGCTCTTTGAATAGCAGAATAGGAATATCTGTTTCATAATTTCACTTTTTTTACAGACTTTGAACGTCACCATGTCAGGAAAATGTAAAGTTAAAGGGTTCCCATGGTTTGACCACACCCTGACCTCCTTTTGGTTTTCTTATTCCCTTTTCATAGTGTTTTTATTTTTTACCCAATTTGGTCACACTCTTTTGAGGCTAATTATATACTGGCCTTGCAATCTTCACAAGATTTGCACATGACAAGTTCTGATTTGCTTGTTAGTCAGTGAAGGCAATCTTCAAAATGAAGCTTCATAAATAACCAAAAGGAAGATTTTATACTCAACAGTAAAGCTAATTTATACTTACAAGGATTTTTCCATGATGCATTATACAGTGTTAGGCATAATATTTTAATCTCCTACACTTTAACACACATTTCAGCCATCCTGACTTTGATTGACCTATGGCGTCTGGATGCTTCATAATGTATTGTGGAACATACAGCACTACATCATATTATGGGCTGTAATGTGTTATTATGCAATTTCTTCAGACTCTCTCTCCTCCACCTTCTTTTTTTTTCTCTCTCTTCTTTTTTTTTTTGAGACATAGTCTCACTCTGTTGCCCAGGCTGGAGTGCAGTGGCGAGATCATGGCTCATGGCAGCCTCAACCTCCTGAGCCCAAGCAATCCTCCCACCTCAGCCTCCTGAGTAGCTGGAACTACAGGCACACACCACCGCACCTGGCTACTTTTTTTTTTTTTTTTTTTGATAAAGACAGGGTTTCACCACGTTACCCAGACTGAACTCCTGGAATCCACCCATCCTCAGCCTCCCAAAGTGTTGGGATTACAGGTGTGAGCCACCACACCGGGTTTCTCCTTCACTTTCTTACTGATGTGTACACACACACACATGCACGCACAAGCATCCACACACACAGTTAGATGCTTATATGAAGTGGTCCCCAAACTTAAATGATATTTCTCTCTCTTCCATGACATTGCCCACTAGTTATTTTCTGTTAGCTGAACAAAGGCAATTCTCTTCATTTCTGTGAGACTCTAAAGACGTGTTTACATAAGTAGCAACTCATACCAACAACCTAAATATAGAATCATTCTTCCTAGGTTTCCCTCAGTGGGTCATCATATAGTACCATCAATGATCTGACCAACAAATAACTTATTAGGAGAAAATGTGTTATCATAAACAAGGTGCACAGAGATCTGGGTTCTAGAAATTGCTCAACTGTTAATTAGCATTGTGACCTTCAGGAACTCATTTAACCTTTCAGAACCTTTTAAACCGGTCCTATCTACTTCCCGGGTTAGGAGGATACAATAGGGTAATGTCTGTGAAAGGAGCCTAAACATTAATATCCACACGAGCAACTTTTAAAGTCAACCCTATACAACTTCGCAGAGTTGTTTTAGAATAAAAAAAGATTTCTCTGTACTCAAACATATCAATTGTGAAACTATTTTAGAAGTGGGGATTGATTAACTTTGAAGACTACCAACCACATGTATTCAAAGAAACTGTATGATCACACTATATGAGGCACTACAAAATCCTAATTTGTTTGTATTCCAAGATTCCAATTCAGGCCTCTTCTGTGACACTCAAATCCCGCACCTCTATACCTAATCAGACTCAGACACTTTACAGAATACTGACAACTCGTGACAGCTGTAAGTATAGCTATCCTTCAAAAATCCAGGTGGACAGAGACTTTGCTTTTCATAAGGATTTCCCACATACACAACCAATTAAGAGATTAAAAGGACATACCAGTTTTCAAATGTGTTATTCACCGACACAGGCAGTGTGCTGGCACTGTGTTTTGACTGCACTGACAGGAGCATATTTATAGGGAAGAATTCCACCTAGATTCTTTTCTTCAGCTCATTACAATTGATTTGTTACTGGTGTAAACCCAGGGTTATTATAATAATTAGTGCAGACATTAATGTAATGAAATAGTGTTTTCCAGCTAAAGTAATATTCAGACGCAAGCCTGGTTTTCCTCCACTGTTAACTGGAGTCCTCCAAACACTCCGAGACTGAGGCGGTTCTTGATGCTCCATATGAAGCCGAGGTTCCTCTACTTTTATTCTTTTTTTTGGTTTCACTGTTGAACCTTTCTAGGTCGCAATTACACCTGGTTTGTATAATGCAGTGCCAACGAAGTGACAAACACTATCACATAAGTCAAAGGCAGGATTTGGAGAGTGCAGGTGTTCAGAAGATTGCACACCATGCAATGTTTGACTGTGGGATTCATTATGGGTTATGGGAAGATAGCAGCGCTTGAAGGGCTCCAGTGACAGAAACACATTTGCAGCTTGCTGCCAAGCCATACCGATGTGGAGGGAATGTTTAAAAGCATCTAATAGAGACATGTTCAAGATCACCTGAGCCGCCTTTGTGGCTCTTGGGCCTGGTTTGTTAGAGCCACAGGCTCACACACCTGCCAAGAAGTGTGAACACCCCTCCAGGTCTTTGTAAAATGCATCTGTGTGTAACTTTTGATAGCTTTTACAAAATATGCAATTACTGTTCAGAGTGAGTTTCCTTCAGCTGCTTTCTAGTCAAGGGAAGTAGGTGGATTCTCAGTGGGCTGGAATTCCAAATGCCACTTGGATCCTGGGCTGTGGGCCTTTTTATATTGTCTGTGCATGTATTTCAGGCATGTTCAAGCTGAAAGGCTTAAGGTTCAAAGGGCATGTAGTCTGGAAAAAAATCACAGGTTTGTGTTAAAAATTCACCTTTGTAATAAATGTGGGAATGGTGATTTGAAGTAAATAATAAGAAATCATTAGGTTGTGGTGAAGAAAATGTGCCAATATGCTCTGACATTCATATTTCACAGTATCAATTGCCTTCTTATGTGTCAAAATCATGAATAAGATTTTTTTGGGAGGAAGGTGTTGAGTTGCAAACTCATTAACAGTAGGCTTTGGAAATGGAAGCAAATGGTGTTGAAGTGGTTGCTGCAGCCTTGGTGGTGAAGAGAATGATGAGGCTTACCACAGCTTTCTCCTGTTGCCTGAGGTCTCAGACCCTGTAACAATCTCCAGGACAGTCACCTGAGAGGGAGACCCACCTGCATCTGAGCTGGGGGACTCTGGGGTTTCATAGCTTTAGAGATTTGGGAGTTGCAAATCAAATTATTCATACTTGGCCACAGGAGAAACGTTCACCTTGAGAAAAGTTGGGTGGAGGCAATGGTGACCATTTTACGTTAATTTATTTTGGTCTGCGGTTAATTCTCTACTAGCTGCAGTTAGCACTGGAGTCTTTCAGCACCACGGATCCTTTCTTCTATTTCATGAACTTTCTTTTCCCCTTCACCCTTCAGGTCCAGCTCTTTGGCTTTCCTCAGAAGTCCCCTTGCGGGCCCTTCTTTCCATAGGCACTGCTCCATTGTGGCACAAGAATTATATTTGCTCTCAGGCCAGAGGCTGTGAAATTCTTTCCTAAGGTTATGGCCTTCCAGAGGAGACTCTGGCCCTCATTCTAGGAAGTCACAGCTTACGACATCCTCTCAGGGAAGTTTTTGGCAAATCACACTATCAGAGATGGTAAAGAATACTAAAAGTTCAAGTCAATGCCGTGCTCTTGCTGAAGGCCTGGCCTTGTCAAGGCTTCTGGGGCAACCTGCAACCTGCTCCCTCCACCCCACCCCCATGCCTCCACAGACTCTTCCTTGCCAGCAATGCATCACGTGCCTCTGTTTTCCCAGTTGCATCCTGCTGAGTCTCTTCGGCCTCTGGGCTTCTCAGCCTGGGTCTTTGCTCGGGAGAGCCTTCGCAGAACTGAAGCTGTTTCTCCAGGTATGTTTTACAATGCTATTAACAACACTGTTTTTAACAGCTGTATAGAAGCCTCGCACAAGGACTATACGATTCCATTTGTATCCAATTCAAGAATAGGCCAACTAAAACTATGGCGACAGAGATCAGATCCCCTAGGAGCGTCAGGATGTTTTTAAAAGAGGGCAATTTCTGGGTGATAGAAATATTTTATATGTTAGCTGGGCTGTTGGTTATACAAGTAAATACATTTTTCAAAACTCGTCTAACTGAATACTTAATATCTGTGCATCTCACTGTAAATTTAAAATAAAAATAAAATACAGCAAATATAAAAACTGTATCACGGGGGGTAAAAGAATAATGAAAGTTCCAATTACACACAGTTGGATCAAAATGTGTAGCCAGCCCAGCTCAGGAAATACCTTACTTAGACATACTATTCTTTTCTCTCCTTTCCTTCCTTCCTTCCTTCTTGTTACATTACTTCTGTGTGCTTGTATATCAAAAAACAAATGGTACAATTGAACAAAGTGATTTGCATGGGGTTTAATAAAGGGGCTATTGCATAGGATGGGGTAAGGAAATGAACAAGGTGTAGTGCACAACTGTGGGGCTTAGTCACAGTGGGGAGCCACTGCCACCCCTAGACCTGAAGGGGTAACAGTCAGAAGACTTCTGAAACCCAGAAAGGAAAGCTGTATGGAGCAGGCCTCCTCAAAAGAGCCACGGCCTTAAAGAAAGGGACACAACCAATTCCCAGCTACTTGGCTCATTTCCAGACCTTATTGTTTTCTTACGTCTCAGTACCCAGCTGGGGCCTCCTAAAGACCTACACGACCAGAAGCTAACTAGAAGGGAGCTTGAAGTCTGGCCTCCCAAGGTACAGAGCTAGGAGAGGGGTGAAAAGTGGATGTGGGGGACAAGCCAAGGATATACAGCCCCACTGGTCACTGCAGTACCCCTGGTGCTATGAATACAACAAAGGCAAAAAACCCTGTTACTTAGGAATCGTACATTCTTGATGGAGGCACTAGAAAAAAAAACGGAGGATCAAAATATGTCATCAATATGTGGGTGCAGAGAAGAGTGTCTAAACCAGATGGAAAACTGAGACAGAGGGAGTGTTGGAGACAAGGCTGGGGAGCACTGTCATCAAAGGCTTCCTCCAAGAGGCATGGCCTGTGATCAGTCTTCAATAGGGTGCAGGTAGAGAGATGGAAGAGAGCAGAGAGCGCACATGAGAGCAGGTGGGACAGCTTGTACAAAGGCCAAGCAGTGAGAGGCTGGTTCCATGTTGCAAAGACTGGACCATATGGTAAAAGGACAAGAGGGTGGAGGTGAAGCCGGAAGAGAGGACGAGGGCCAGGTCACAGACAGTAGTGACTGGGCATGAACTTCGTTCTGTGGACAATAGATAGCCACTGAGATAGTCTCAGTAGGCAAGAGACACCGCCAAATGTCACTTTCAAAGACTGCACAGTAATGAGGCAGTGTCTGTGCTGGTTTGAGGTGAGGTGAGATTGGAGCCTGGAGATGAGTTAGGAGCTAACAGTGAGAGAGTCAGTGGGAGGCAAAGAGAGAGACACACAGAGCACTCCTCTCCTAAGCCAGGCACACCCATACCTGGCTTCCCCTTTCTGCGTTTATACAACGTGCACATTCCCTGCCCATGTGAGCTGCTCCTACTCCCGAGACACGCCAAGAAGGAATGTGTCTTTCCATCGGTGGACTCCTCAAACTAAATTTTGTTTGAGCTCCCCTCCCTGGTGTCTCTTCTCTGCTAGGGCTGGGCTGAATGCTCTTCTCCAGGCTGCCAAACGACTCCCAGGTTCAAGCTATTCTCCAGGCTCCCAAAGGACTCCCAGGTTCAAGCGATTCTCCAGGCTCCCAAAGGACTCCCAGGTTCAAGCGATTCTCCAGGCTCCCAAAGGACTCCCAGGTTCAAGCTATTCTCCAGGCTCCAGGCTCCCAAAGGACTCCCAGGTTCAAGCTATTCTCCAGGCTCCCAAAGGACTCCCAGGTTCAAGCGATTCTCCAGGCTCCCAAAGGACTCCCAGGTTCAAGCGATTCTCCAGGCTCCTAAAGGACTCCCAGGTTCAAGCTATTCTCCAGGCTCCCAAAGGACTCCCAGGTTCAAGCGATTCTCCTTGAGAATAAACCCCTACGTCCTAACATTTACAGCATTACAATGAAAGGAATTGCTCATGTCTCTCTTCCACCCACTGAGAAGTGAGGTTCTTGGAGGCTGGGGCCTCATCTTATGTACCCCTGTATCTGCAGATCTTGGTTCACAGTAGGTTTTTTATAAGTTTTTTATAAGTTCCCTGCCTTAAATTGAACTGAACTTCTGACCTTTTCTCTGCCTAAGCCCCCAGCTTTTGGAAAGATGGAGTTGGAGAGAGAAAGCATGCTCCTGACTGGCCAGATTCACTGAATCAACCCCGAGGCTCCAAAGGGTGACAGATAGTACAGTCAGATCACATGGCATCTGAATTCCCAGCCAGATGTCTGGGTTCTCTAAAATTCCCTTTACCCCAGTTATTTCTTACCTTCTGAAGATCCAATAGCAACATCAAGTGAAATGGTATTTTGGAGAAATTTGTGAACTGTAAAGAGACACATAGCATTGACTTATTGTATACCAGGTATATTAATTCATAATTAATTTCTTTTTCTTTTTTTCTTTCTTTTTTTTTTTTTTTTTTTTTTTTTGAGATGGAGCCTCACTCTGTTGCCCAGGCTAGAGTGCAGAGGCATGATCTCAGCTCACTGCAACCTTCACCTCCCAGGTTCAAGTGATTCTCCTGTCTCAGCCTCCCGAGTAGCTGAGACTACAGGTGCCTGCCACCATGCCCAGCTAATTTTTGTATTTTTAGTAGAAACTGGGTTTCACCATGTTGACCTGGCTGGTCTCAAACTCCTGACCTCAAGTGATCCACCTGCCTCGGTCTCCCAAGGTGCTGGGATTACAGGCGTGAGCCACGGCGCCTGGCCAACACTTAATTTCTCAGATACCTGGATATAGTCAGTTTACATATGAACACAGGAAACACTGAAAAATATACCAATGAGATCAGGCAGTCTCCAATAAAGCCCAATGCATAAGGGTTCAAACCTGCTATATGTGCTCTTCTATCCTAAAATTCCTCAAGAAAAGATGAAAGAATCCAAACAGTGAGGTAATGCTGCTGGCCTGGCTATCCCAAAGGATGTAGTGGTGGAAGGATGTATCACAAGGAGACAGTTGCTAGGAGGGTAAAGGAAAATCAGAACAGTTACAATTTACTGGTATGTACTTTTGGGGCCAGATAGCTTATCTTTAATGCTCATTACGGTCAGGTAGGGTAGATGTAATTTTTATCCTCATTTTACAGATAGGTTCTCTAACGTTAACAAGTAGTTTTTTCATTCACCAGACATTTATTGGGCCCCTATTAGATACCAGACACTGTGCTAGTTCAGCACCTTTTCGAAAGCCACTCAGCAGACCTGGGTTCTGAACTCTTACCGGTCTATAGGTCGAAATATTCTGATCTTTTCACTACACAATTTTCCTTTTTCAGCCCACTCAGTTGCAGCTTTGGAGCAAGATTTCCATTGTATTAGTAAAACAGTGACTTTTTGGGACACTGTGTGAGTGCAATATTTTCAAACTTACAGGGTTCAGATAGCATCTCACCTAAAGCTCCCAGCATTTTAACACCAAGTCTGCGGAAGCTGCAGGCAGTCTAATTCAGTCTTGTGCACAGTTCTCTATGTGGGCAGCATGCATCTGTAGAAGCTTCCAGTGGGCGGGATTTAATTCCCCACACTTTTAGTTATGTTGTTACTGGGACTTTAATATGTCCTAAGTTTTGATAGAGCGATTATAAAACGCATGTTAGTTATTTCTGTGACAAATACAGGCTCCACGGATGCCTTGAATAAACTTTTCTTTCCTTCATACTCTACTACACCCAACCCTCCCCTTCATGGCTCCCTGTGGCCTACTTCAGGGCAATTAATAAGAAAAATATCTTCCCTTCTCACACCTCAGATATTTTAGCTTGAATGGGACTCTCATGGCTGGTGGCCACCAGCTTCAACATCGCTCCATGCTATTTTCAAAGATTGTTGAGAAATAAGTGGGAACAAGGTCACAATGCCCACCACTGTGTGCCCAATAGTATAATGGCCATGCCAGTTGCAAGCCGTACTGCAAAGACCAGTTTAAAAGCAAGCTCCCAGAGAGTGAAACACTGGGTTTGATGACATCAGAGGTAGATGCTTCCCCTTCCATGGTCTCTGCTCTCCCCTACACATTTCCCACCATCAAAGTACCTCTCTATGAGCAACGTCAAATCTTTCTTGAAGCCACAAGTGAAGAATTCAATTAATAATTAATTTTTGTGTATTTAGAAAGCTATGGGAGATTAAGGGAAAAATCTAATTATAAAAATAAGAGCTAAAATTTATTTAGTTCCTGTTGAGTATTTTTGAATACTTAGTGTGAGCTAGACAGTATGCTAAGCAATTTATGTACATCTCATTTAACCCTTAGAAAAACTCCTATACCATAACAAAATTCAGCCATTCATTCATCCAGTCAGTCAGTCATTCAACAAACATGCCCTTAGCATTTACTACATGTGAGATACTATTCTAGGTCTTGGGAATACAGTTTTGAATAAGACACAGGTCTGGGCCAGGGGTGGTGGCTCATGCCTGTAATCCCAGCACTTCTGGAGGTCAAGGCGGGCAGATCACAAGGCCAGGAGTTCAAGACCAGCCTGACCACCCCATCTCTACTAAAAATACAAAAATTAGCCAGGAGTGGTGGCACGTGCCTGCAGTCCCCGCTACTTGGGAGGCTGAGGCAGGAGAATCGCTTGAACCTGGGAGGTGGAGGTTACAGTGAGCTGAGATTGTGCCACTCTACTCCAGCCTGAGTGATAGAGCAAGACTCCATCTCAAAAAAAAAAAAAAAAAAAAGACATGGGTCTGATTGAGTTAAAATCTAGCCATGAAAGCAGATAGCA